TAATATCTGAGAATCACAGAATAATATCTGAGAATCACAGAATAATATCTGAGAATCACAGAATGATATCTGAGAATCACAGAATTCTGTGATCATAGAAGGATATCTGCATCGAGCGTGGACGGGATAAATTAATGTAGAGACGTAATTTATACCTAGCATCTTCGATCGTAAGTTACGGGGAGCAATAGGCAAATTAAGATAGAAGAACATAAAATAATCTGTAGTTGCGAAAATTTCACGAATCGACAGCTCGCAACGACGTCGTTTCAAAAGCACCGGACGCCCCCCACCTCTGATCCTACCGACCCCCCGGCGCCACCTACCAGCGAAGGCCATCACCACATGTTCGTCAAGGCTGCATATCTTGCGCACGGTTCGTTCCTCCTGAAGCTTTGCGACAGACTTCTTTTCGACGGCCAGAACTACGACGTGTTCTCCTCGGACTCCCACCTGCAAATACATGGATGTTAACAAAACAAAAAAGTAGGAATTGAAAGAAAATTAGGTACGGTCGGGGGATGGGGTGGAACGCTAACCCTGAAGCTATGGATTCCGTGCAATACAAAACACATTTGGCGACATTTCCCGATAAAGAATTTAGAAAATACTACAATCTATTTAACTTGTTAGACAATTCATTATATCACACTACCTGCAACAACACAAGCAAAATTCCCCCAGCGATGACAAATCTTTCTTTTTTTGATTATTGGTTCTATACGACATTAGGCTTATGTCCATTCCTAACGCTGCAGCTTAAAGCCAGCTTCCCTCAAACTTTCCACGTAAATTTTTGTAACAAACCCCTGTAAAAACGTAAGTAAATTACTCACTACACTTTAACTCAACGTTAGCTTTGAAAATAAAACTGTAAAAATATGTATTTAAAGCCTATATTTGCTTATCGAAGAAACAACTCGAAAAACGCTTTTCGCCGCGGTTCCGTACTCGCCATATTGTTCATATTTGAGCAACCATCATTTCAATCGAGTCAATGTAGCATTTCAGATTTCATAACTTTTAATATAAATCATTTTATGAAATCAAACTTTGTAGTCTAGATAGAGAGACACCTCGACTGTTTATGTTATTAATTTCAGAATTTTTACCGTAACCGTTTTCGAGATAGAACGTGCTAAACACCCAACAAAACGTAATCCGAACTAACAGCGACCTGACAGGACTCTCGACTCACTCACTGGTTAACTCACTCAGAATACTATAATCTCCCAGCAACAAAAACGTTGCCCTTTCCCTATCAGCTAGCCATGTGCGTGACCAGAAAAACCATTGGGTCATAACATGCCAGTCTGTATAATTTTACATAGCATGGTTCATACATATGATACATAACACGGGCAAGTGAGCGGAGCGGAACAACCGCCGCATAGCAACAAAGGTAAACGCGTTTGAAACATACAAAACATAAATCAAAACAATACAAACAATAAAAAAATGTCAAATTCACCAAAGTCATTCCAAGATCTTCGCACCTACGACAACGAAGTCTGCGGGACGTACAGGGAGGCATGCGCCAAGTACGGTCTTCTGGAGGATGACGCCCACTGGAACCAGACCCTGGAGGAAGCAGGTACCACAAGGGTGCCAAGACAGCTGCGCCAACTCTTCGCCATCATGCTCACGACCTGCAGCCTGGCAGAGCCGCTCAAGCTATGGGAAGCTTACAAGCAAAGCATGGCAGAGAACATCCACTACCAAGTGCAGCGCCAAAATTCTCAACAGAAAGTCACCTACACAGATGCCATGTACAACGAGGCGCTGCTGGAGCTCGACAACCAAGTTCAAGCGATGGGCGGCGAAGGAGTCCACATCTTCGGCCTGCCACGGCCAGAGCAGAACAACAACGCACTCGCATATGAATACCTGGCAGAGACCAACTGGCAACATACCAAATGGCAACATACGGCAATGAGAACGAGATGCGCCTGGTGGAGGATCAGCAGCGTGCCTACGACGCCATCTTCGCAAGCATTGAGGAGGAACGTAGCGGCCTCTTCTTCCTCGACGCTCCTGATGCGAGTGACATATAATCTGTTGTGATGACTATCAAAATCTAAACATCCCATATCCAGGCATTTTAAAAGTAACAAGTTGTCAACATAAGTCATAACGGAACTAGACCAACCAATTTCTGCAAAATTATAAACACGTACTGTCTACAAACTGAGTAACGATTATAAACCTCGTGCGACCGTCGCTACCGAGAGTATTCTCTCTTCACGCTTTGTAGCCAGGTTTAATAAAGTTGTCTCAACATTATATAACATTTGTAAAGTAACTAAAAAGATAACCTTTTTAATTGAAGTGTTATCATATTATACACTTCAAAAATAATTATATTAAAAATGCGAGTGTTTCGGATTTTGCGAGTTGAAATTTGATCCACTCGCAAAAAATTGCGAGTGATTTCAAAAGTTAAATTCTACCCCTGACATACACACTGCAACATAGTGTAAACATGTGACGACGTCGTTGCCGCTGTGGCGGTGGCGCCCCCTACCTGCTTGATGGTCGCGATGTAGCGCGTTATGTACTCGAGCGTGACGGGGTCTTCGACGGTTAGACGGTGGCTCTGACACTCGATCCTCGCCTTGTTGATGATGATGCGTGCGTCCGCGGTCAGGCCTGCAACGACGCGAGCGAATGATATCTGCATCGAGCGTGGACGGACGGGAGAGATCATTGAATAATATCACAGAATAATATCTGCATCAAGCGTGGACGGACGGGAGAGATCATTGAATAATATCACAGAATAATATCTGCATCAAGCGTGGATGGACGGGAGAATGTGTGATCATAGAATGATATATGAGAATCACAGAATTCTGTAATCACAGAATAATATCTG